CCCCCCCCCCCCCCCCCCCCCCCCCCCCTGCCCACCTCCCGCAAACCCCCCCCCCCCCACCTCGGCCCTTGAGCTTCTAGCATCACAACACCCTCCCATTAACCTAAACTCTAGGGCCAGGTGCTTAAACTGTACATTTTCTTGCTCCCTTGACCTTCCAACGTGCCGACCAGCGAGGGGTGAACTTGTCATCTGTGCGTAGCTAGAGCTGGTATGACCGGATCCCACCCAAGTCCGTGTTACTGAACATCAGCCAGGCCCTCAGGGCTCATCAGCTTTCCTTTTACTCACTGTATTGGGCTGAATAGGACCCCCTCCCCATCCCCCCAATTCACGTCCATCTGGAACCTGTGAATGTGACTTTACTGGAAATAGGGTGTCTGCAGATGTAATCAAATTAGGACAATGTCATACTGAATTAGGGAGGGTTCTAATACAATGACAGGCATCCTTATTAGGAGGAGGAGGTTTGGACACAAACATAAACAGAGGGAAGAATGCCATGTGCAGACAGAGGAAGAGACGGATTGAGGCAGCCACAAGCCCAGGAAGGCTGCGGATGGCCGGCCACCACCAGAAGCTAGAAAGAGGCAAGGAAGGAATCCCCCCTAGAGCCAACGGAGGGAGCACGGCCCTGGTGACACCTGATTTCAGACTTCTCGCTTCTAGAGCTGTGAGACAATAAATTTCTGTTTTAAGCCACCCAGTTGTGGTACTTTGTTATGGCTGTCCTAGGGAACGAATACACTCGCATCAAAGGTCACCCAATTGAATTCTGTCCCCTCAGCTGCCGTCCTAACTGTGCCTAGTCTCTGTGAGGCCCGTGCCTACCACCAACGTCCTCCCAGACTTCCTGTCCCTCATCTCTTCTCAGGCACGCTGACCAACTAATCCACCCTTGGAGAAATAAAATGTCCTATCCCTCTTTCCAAAACCAACCTTCCTCTCTGGGTGCTTGTAGTGGATTGAATTACGCACCCCCCAAAACTCATTGAAGCCTGAATTGTGTCCCCCATGATTTTTGTATCAGAAACTGCGCCCCCACTGTGATTGCTGAGGGTGGGAAATCCTATTATGGTAACTGAAAAGTGGGGCCTTGAAGAGGTGATTAAACTGTAGGACCGTGCATTAGTGAATGGATTAAAATGGTGGTCAGGGGCGGGGTTCTGAGGGCTTTGAAAGGAGAGAGAAAAAAGTCTGTCATCATTTTCTCAATGTGCTACCCTGCCATCACTGAAGTCACCACCAAAGAAAGCCTTCACCAGATGTGTTCCCTGGGCTTTGTGGATTTCCCAGCCTCAGAAACTGTAAGCAATAAATTACGTTTTCTTTACAAATTACCCGGTTCCAGGCATTTTGTTATAAGCAACAGAAACAGACTGACGCAGTACTGCTCTCCTGTCTCTTATGAGGCTCCACTCCATTGTCGACCCATCCCCACCCCTACACTTTCAAACCCTGATCTACGAGAAGGATCTGTGGAAGTCTCTGCTGGGATGCTATTTCACCGGCAGAAAAGGATCAGTAAATAAAGCCCAGACTCCTTACAGCTCTTTCGTTCTGCCATCAAAGAACATAGTTACTCCGTATCCTGCTCAAACCATGACACTTAGTAAGCCCAAAAGAAAAACCACTAAACCATAACACTGCATGTGTTCTAGAAGCTGGAAGGTGAATGGGAAGAGTTGGATACACAGGATGCCCCCACTTGCCTTCCTGGGACCAGACATTTCTTGTTATTAGCTCGTTTGCTATACTGGGCTCTGTTCAATCTCACGGTGACTGGTATCTCAGACACGTGTTTTATAAACCAGTCCAGCAAAAGCTTCTAGAGGTCGGGAGGAGTTCAGCTTGGCAGTATTCTCTCCACAGATGGAACCTAATAAATGATGCTTTCTAGATGTCACAGTTTTCTCCATAGCAGGACTTGACGATGCCAGTCAGAAGAGCCACAACTTGGCCAACTATAACTTGGGCAGGGAGGACAAGGGGGCTTGCATGGTGATGCTGCCGGCCGGGGATGCCGAGGCATGAACCATACCTTGTCTCGCCACAATTAAGCTGGCCATGCAGTCTGGAACACTTGTCCCCGCTGCCAGGAAAGTAATGCCCATGATGACATCAGGGATCCCAAGGGTGTATCCAATAATAGTCACCTGCAGAAGAGAAAAGGAGACATAAACTCACAACACAACACCCCTAGAAACTTTGCTTACCCTAAATATTTTTTTTTTTTTTGGCTTTTTTCCGTGTCCGGCAACGGATCGCAACCCTCAGTGTTTAGTTGTTCAATAAATATTTATTCAATAATGCAAACCTCTACTCTCCCAATTCACTCCCCATTCCCCCTATTCCTTGGGATGAAAAGCTGAGGGGCACTGAGACCATATCATAGATTTTATTTCATATTAATTTGGTTTCCTCTCGTTTAGTTTTTATAACAACCCAGTGAGATATGTACTATTTCCCTATTTTACATATAAGCAGACCAAGAAAAGTCAAGTAATTTACCCAAGGTCAAAGCAGCTTCTAAGCAGTACTGGAAGTAAATGTTAGGGCTACAGGACTCCAAAGTCCAGGCCTTTAACTATTATCCTATTTTATTCCATGTAGATTTGTTATTCAATGTTGTAAGTAAACCACATATATATATATTTTTTTGTCTTTTGTCTTTTTCCGTGTCCGGCAACGGGATTGCAACCCTTGGCGTTGCTCCCGCGCCTCGATCAGCCAGTGAGCGGGAGCCGGTCTGTATGTGGGATCCGAACCCTCGGACGGGAGCGCTGCCGCGCTTCCCAAGCGGCGCACTATCAAGTGCGCCACCGGGCCGGTCCCTACCCTAAATATTTTTAAGGTGAATGTGGTAATGCTATAACCAATAGAAAAATCTGGAATATGGTTTTATTTAAGAACATCTTCCCTACCCTAAATATTTTTAAGTTGAATGTGGTAATGCTATAACCAATAGAAAAATCTGGAATATGGTTTTATTTAAGAACATCTTTTGAGTGTTCTTTTCTTTTCCTGACTACATGAGTAATACGTGTTTACTGTTTCAAAAAGTTTAGAAAATAAAATAAAATGAAAATAAATATTACTTACCATTTCTCAAGACCCACAGACAACCACTATTAACTCTACATCAGCCAGTGGTTCTCAAACTTGAGCATTCAGAAAATCCCCTGGAGGGCTTATTAAAATGCAGACTGACAGGTCCTACTCCCAGAGTTTCTGATTCCAAGGATCTGGGGTAAAGCCCGAGAATGTGCATTCCTATAGGTGGCTGGGACTCTGAGGCTGCTGGTCTGGGAATCACATTTGAAAACCACTACATTAAAATATATCCTTGACCTTCTTTGGGGGATGTGTGTGTGTTAGGAAAAATGAAATCAGATCATACTATCAATATTTATTTTGTAACTGTTTGTTTCACGTAATAACATATTGTGAATACCTTTCCATCTCAGATATCCATCTATGACATTTCAAATGGGTGCTTAGATTTCACTGCATGGCTATAAACTTTTAACCAGTCCCTCTCTATTAGATATTTAGGTGGCTTCTTTTTTACTCTTCCAATATCCTTGCATATGACAAGTGACATTTATTGAGTACTTCTTGTGTACCAGATGCTCTAAAGGTGTTTTATTTTCATAATCTCACATACTCTATTATTTGCCACCCACGGAGCAGGGAGGCAGTATTGTTATGCCAGCCGAGGATCAGAGAGGTTGAGTAACAATGCCATGAGCACACAGCTGGGAAGTGAGGCACACACAGGGATCCCAAGCCAAGTGTTTCCGTCTCTAAAGCCTGTGCTCCAACTTCTCTACCATGCCATCCTAGGTATACATCTTTGGCTTCTCATCTTACTACCTCCTTAGGATAAATTCTAAGAAATAGAACTGCTGGATCAAAGGATACGCAGGCTTTTAAAAATCGTGATGCACATCTGCATATTCAGTAAGTGACTAACTACTGGCTGGTTTTAACAAGGCCAAACCAAGTCTGTTTTGAGATGGGCTGGGGTACAGAAGGGAGAGGGTTACAAGGGATGGCGAGCTCCTGGAGGATTCAGATGTTTGAGTGTTCCCGTGTCCCCAATTTATTTATTTATATATTTTTTTAATTAATTTTTTTTTTACATTCTATGATGATGTGCAGCAGTTGGGTGGGATGAGGAGGGGAAGGGGTGGGAAATGGGATGGAAGGAGGAAGGGTGGGATTGAGGCCTGTGGCACCCCCCTCATTCCCACAGAGGAGACCAGGGGGCTTCTAGCAGTGGCTTGGTCATTGCTGGGCTGGGTGCAAATGTCACAGGGGTGTGGCAAAAGCCCTCGCCCCCCACCACTCCAGCTCAGGAACCCGGGGCCCTCCTTGCTGTGGCTCAGTGATCATCGCTGGGCTGGTTGTGTGTTTGGGGGTGTGTGGCTGAGGCCCTTGGCTCCCCACTGCCCCAGCTCTGGAGAGCCTGGGGTGCTTCCTGCAGTGGCTCGTGGTCGTCACTGCCTATGTCCCCAATTTAGCTGAACCAAGGCCAGGATGTTTCAGGTATGTGTACCTGGGGATAGGAGAGATGCTGGAGGCCTGGTGGCTTAGAATGGCTCTGCCCTTCCTGAGTTATGTCACTCATCCCACTCATTACAAAACAACCGCAGAGTCAGTCCTGAGACTCCTCTTGGCATACAGAGCTCTAAGGGAGTCCAAGAGAAAGGGGAGGGTGAACAGGTTGGGGGTAGCATCTTCTACCAGTTGGTGTCTTGGAGAGGTTTTGCCATAGGAAGGGTGTGCACGAGTCAGGTCTAGGACACTCAGAAAGGCTGGGGACAGGTCCCTGTCAGCTTGGAAGCATCCAAGGCTGCCCCTGCTTCTCCCTGGTGCACCCTTAAGCTGATGGAGCAGGCCAAGGGGTGTGATTTCAGGAAATCTCTCATCCCCCAGGCAAAACGACTCCCATACGCTATTTAGAATCCCAACAGTGTGTTTTGCTTGGGCTCTCAAACACATAGCACCCTGGGAAGGAAGCGGACAGAGGGGACTGAGGTTAGTGGGAAGCAGGGCCAGGACTGGCCGAGTGCCTATAACGTACTAGGCTCTCTTTTCATTCTCCCGATATCCTTGTGAGGGAGCGATGATCACCCCACTGCACAGAGGGGGTCACCTTGGCTCACGGAGGTGAGTCAGCTGCCCAGGTTTCATGGCCTGTAAGTGGTAGAACTAGGATTCAAATCTACTCTCCTGCAATCCCATGGCCCTTCCTTCCCCACTAAAGCGCACTGTTCCTCTGGAGTTAAGGGAAAGGCAGCTCTTGTGCCTACGATGAACTTCTGTGGGCCTCTGCCTCTCAAGTCAAGATGTGCCTGCCTTCTCTGTGTGGGTATCAGATGTTAGGAGGAGAATGAAATGACTGACTGGTAAGGACTAGGGTGTGCGTGGCTGACGGGAGCATCGCAATCAATAGGAACTCAGCCACGCTGCAACCACTTCCCCTCTCCTTGCTCCTAGGCTCCCCTCTGGGGATAAGGAGGAGCAGGGACCCTCACAGGGTGGTACACAGAGGACAGGGGGTCCTGCATGGCATGGCCTGGCATGGCCCAGCCCAGAAAATGAAATGTACAGGGAGCTGCTATGTGTGGCCAGAGGCAATCATGAGGAGCTATGCCACGCCTCTCCGCCTGCAAAACTTCCAACAGCATCTGAGAGTTCTAGTAACAAACCGAGAGGCCATTTAGCATAGTATTTGAGATCATAGACCCAGGAGGCCAACATCTGGGTTCTAATCCCAACTCTGGCACTCATTAACTGTGCAACCTTGGCCAAATTACTCAAATCTCCATGTCTAAGTTTCCCCAACTGTAAATAAAATATACCTATCCTGTGGGGTTGTTATGAAGATAAAAAAAGAGCTAATATAAAGTGCTAATATAAAGCTGATGCCTTGGCACACAAAAAGGGAAGAGGAGCATTCCCTGCAGGGGCGTGGAAGGAGCTGCCTTGCAATCATCATCTCCCACTGACTCCAGTCTCCTTCCTTCACATTCCCCTGGGGACTCTGGAAATGAAGGGGGCCTAGTGATCAGCTACCCTGTCACATTACTCTGCCCATGCCACCAGTGTGGCATGTCCCAGGCTGCCTGTGTGAAGGTTTGTCTCCCTTCCTCATGCTTGAAGGCAAGCACCGTGCTGTGTCTCAGTATCCCTGGTACATACCACAGCCCTGTGGCACCTTTATTAAAACCCCTTTCCACTGAGAACTGAGCTGCGGTCAGCGAGGTCAGTACCAAAGGTGGCACACCAGTGCTTGTGGTTGCCCTTGACCCCAGTTTCTCCTCCTCTGCTTGGCAGAGGTTGGGCGGGGGTTGTCTGTACAGTCCACACCCTGCTCCCACCACTCACCAGCCACACCATGAAGTAGGAGAACACGGCAATCCACAGCGTGGCCGTGATGAAGGTGACCATGAAGAACTTCTCCCAGCGGGGCTTGCTGCAGTTGGGGATGGTGATGCACAGGAGGAAGATGAGTGGCCAGGTGAACACCCACTTGACTTTGTCCCCTCTTGCCTCTGCAGGGGGATGGGACAGGGCAAGGAGGGGGTGGGGAACACACACTGGGTTACACACCTACCAGTCTACCTGTTGGTTATTTTTTTCGCACAGGAGGAAGATGAGTGGCCAGGTGAACACCCACTTGACTCTGTCCCCTCTTGCCTCTGCAGGGGGATGGGACAGGGCAATGAGGGGGTGGGGAACACACACTGGGTTACACACCTACCAGTCTACCTGTTGGTTATTTTTTTTTAAAGCTAAACAAGAGAATACCACTGACATGACTCCAGGAAACTGACGTCGCAGAGTCACAGACCTCCATTATATAATGTCACCCTGAAAGTAGCAAGACAATTCAGTAAGTGTTTGTCGACTGAATAATTTCAGTCACTCCAAATCCTTCATTTGAAAAGATAAGGAAAGAGCAGGAATAGACTCACCCAGAAGAGCTAGAATGTGGATTTGGAATATAGATGGGCCTTGTCGGCACCATGCTCTAACCAACTGAGCTAACCAGCCAGCCTGTAGATGGGCTTTGGAATCATACAGACCAGGGCTGGAATTCAAAAGACCTCGAGAAATCTCCTCAACTACACTTCCTCCTCTGATAATAAGTTGTAGTGGTAACAACAACAATGTAACAATAATCAACACATCCAGTATTTGCTATGTGCAGCAAGCACAGGGCTAAGCACTTAGCATCTTATTAGTTTCTTCATCAGCTAAATGGGAAAATGATCTCTTTCTTGGCTGTTGCAAGAATGATGTGACAGAATGTACATACACTCAACACACAGAACCTGGCACACAGTAGTTGCTTTGGAAATCTGAGCTCCTTTGCTCCAAGGTCATATAGTCAGCCTGTGGTAGATGCAAGACTAAAATGTGGGTGTCCTGGCTGGCAGTCCAGATCTCACTGGCCCCTACCAATGGAATCCACAAATAATTCAACCAAGGAAAACTGGCTTCAATAAGTCACTGAGTAGAAACATAGTGTTCTTAGGGCCAGCCTGTGGCTCACTTGGGAGAGTGTGGTGCTGATAACACCAAGTCCACGGGTTCAGATCTCTATATAGGGATGGCTGACTAGCTCACTTGGGAGAGTGTGGTGCTGACACCACCAAGTCAAGGGTTAAAGATCCCCTTACTGGTCATCTTTAAAAAAAAAAAGAAACATAATGTTCTTAATAAGCAACTGAGGATGGGTGTGCACATGCAGGGTCAAAACCACCCTGATGGTGATGTCAGTGAAACAGTAGAGGAAGGACCTCTGAACATTTTCTTCTCTATAAAAGCAACAAGAACAATGGCAAAAATTGTCAGAATCAACTTTTTTTTAGAACCCTGGATATTAACCAAAGGCTTGCAGCAATCCAGGGAGTGTCTATTTAAGAAAATTAGCTGTAGGAAGTTTTAACTTTGTGGAGTTTTAACTTTCCTTATTTCCTTTCCTGTTCACTTGCTGCAGAGTAGCCTTGAAAACCAACCTGCAATTACAGTGAAAAACACAGCCACCAGAGAGGGCAGAACAGGCTTGGAGCACTTTCCAAGTCCATTCTCACAGAACTGTTATTATTTGACAAGTCTGGTGTTTTCCTAGAAGACACCCTGTACAAGGTTGTCTTTATTTTACCTGAATCTGAGCTCCCCCAGTGTGAACAGCCTTTTCCTTGGGGGTGCTTGTCAAAAACAATCAGAGGCAATTTTTAAACTATGCTGCTTGAGGTGGCAGATAGCAGGTGGGACAAACAATAGGTTAACCAGAAAGCTTAAAAGGAAAATCTGGGAATGAGATATCCACAGTGGGCTTTGAAAAGCTCCTACACATTTCTGGGAATCTAAAAGAACATAGGCATGCCTAGGACTGGGTTCAGGGTTGTTTACATGCTCAGGAAAGGCTTGAGAATGCCCTATGCTTTCACCTCTGCTTAACCTTGAGGCTCTGCACAAAGCAAGAAGTAAAGACTAATGGAGAGTTGAAAACTGCCTGCCTGAATATTGCAGGTCTATCCCAAAACACGTACAGAGCCCCTCAGCAAAGACTGAGAGAATCACTGAACCCAGACATCTAAAGAAACCTCTGTTCAATCATTATCTGACCTTTAGGCTAACCTAGCATAAACTTCAGAGGCCACATACAACAGAGAATACAGATTTTACAGAATTAGTTTAGAAAAGTCACTAAACCAACAAATAACAATAATAAACAGCAAGAACGATAAACCCTAGGAAAGGGGAAGAATCTGATTTCCAGAGTTGTCGCATTATATCATTTAAAATGCCCAGTTTTCAACAATAATAACAAAAAATTATGAGACATGCAAAAAAACAAGTAAGTATGGGCCACACACAGGAAACAAAAGTCAATAGAAACTCTCCCTGAGGAATTCCAGACACTGAATTTATTAGATTAAGACTTTAAACCATTCATATAAAAATATGTACAAAGACATTTATTAAAATGTCCAAACAAAAGTATAAGAATGATTTTTCACCAAAAAATATCAATAGTGAAAAAAAAAATGATTAAAAAAAGAACCAAATAGAAATTCTGGAGTTGAGAAATACAATAGCTAAAATTCAATAGAGGGGCTCAATAGCAGATTTGAGCAGGCAGAAGAAAAAAAACCAACTAGAAGATAGGCTGATTGTAATCACCACATCTGAGGAATGGAAAGAAAAGAATAAATAAAAATGAACAGAGTTTCAGAGACCTGTGAACACCATCAGGCAGACCAGCATATGCGTAATTAGGAGTACCAGAAGGAATGGAGACAGGAAAGGGGGCAGGAAGAATATCTGAGAACTCACGTTCAAAAACTCCCCAAATCTAATAAAAAAAAAACCATTTATATATTCAAGAAGTATACATATTCTTCTAAAGTGCACATAGACTGTCCTCCAGGACATAACATATATTAGGCCATAAAATAAGACTCAGTACATTTAAAAAGGACTG